ATTCAAGCCACCTGGGCAGGCCCTTTGCCAATATCATATGGGAAGGGGCAGCCTTGCCAGCTTCTGCCAACTCCTTCTCCCTCTTCTGGGAGAGGGAGGGGCATGGAGGGGATGTTCTAGCCTCACCTGTGACTTTTTCCTCTAAAGGAAAATTGTGCAACCTCTTGTTTGGTTTCATCCTCAGAAGAGGCTCAACTCTAAATGTTAAAAAAAAAAAAAAAAAAGAACAAAGCATTCCTTCAAAAGGAACATTTGCTTTTTCAAGAAGGTAAATGTGTTCTGAAAATGGAAGCATGTTATTAGCATTTTACAACTGAATGCAAAATGTGGCATTTGAGCAGAGTCTCTCTGGACCACTTCATCATCCCAGGAAACAATCATCAAGATGCAACTGCAATTTGCATGCAAATTAAAAAAAAATAGCAGCACTGTTTTGGGTTGGAAAATAGGGTAATGGAAAATATCCTACAACCCATGTGTGGTTCTGGAATCCTGATCTTTCCATCTCTTCTTACAACACAATTATGAAGGGTTTTCGTAATTTACTAAACTAATAGTAAAACTAAAAGTAAGTTGGTTCAAAGTACTTCCACATGCTGTAATGAAAGTCTGAGTTGTCATTTTTAGAGGATAGTTTGGGAACATCTATTAAAAACGTGTGAACATTTTGACCTATGAACTCCACTTCCTCTAAGAATTTATAGACACGTTTACCAAAGATTTTAAAGTATGTCTCTTAATAAAAATAACCTCACCATGCATAGACAGGAGAAGGACTTCACCAATTCATACAATGAAAGAATATATAGCATTAAAAAAAAAAAAGAGAGAGATCACCTACAGGTTCTGATTTGAAAGATTTTGAGATATATTAAGTACAAAAAGGTATAAAATTTAACTTTATGATATTCAAAATTCGGAGAAATATTTCTGGGATGAAATGAAAAAAATTAAAAGTGGCAGTGTAAATTGGGCTGTGGCACCCAAAGATTGGGTTTTTATCACAAGCAGATATTAACCTTATTAAAGTAATATTTTAAAATTCAGTTTAAAGGGCATAGTTTAAAAGAAAGCATCACTTTAGTGACATAGTAAGGCTTAGGCCACAGAAAATCCTAAAAATAACTATCTTTCCTTTGAGATCGCCTCCTCACCCTTCAATTATGTGCTCCCCCATTAGAGCCCATTCGGTCTTTCTCATGAGAGTTGGTTGGGGGTGGAAAGAGGCATAATGGTGCAAAGGTCATTTAGAATGAACCCATCAATTCGGGATCCAATGCTCTAACAAGTCTATGAAATAGTTAAACAACAGTATTTTTAAGGAGAGAGCTTTAGATTGTTTTTCTCAGATGCCTTTTTATAATATATGACTTCTTACAGGTTTCCAATGAAGGCCCAAGGCAGGAAGCAAATTCTCAGGAGTCAGGCCATCATTCTTCTGACTGATGTCTGATCTTTGTGGACTTGCTGTCTCTGTCTCTCCCCTTGGCAAACCATCCTGAATGGCTGGATTTCCCCCCGAGGCAATTACTATGTGTGATACATTAGTTACTTTACTCCTTGATCTTCCTCATTGTCTGTCTAGACCTAGTAAACAATGGATTTGCTCCATGAGCAAAGGTACTGATGGATCTTCAACATTTAGAATTATATCCAACATAAAGTTTGCTCTCAACAGTTACCTATCAAATTAACCATTGAATTCATGCATGTGTTATCAAAAAAATCAGCTTGGCATTATTATTGAAAAAAATCAAGGTGATTGTGAAGATATTTAACTTTCTGTATCTCTGGTTTGCTAGCTGTAAAAATAAGGATACTAACATTGATGGGTACATACATTTATGTGTGATTATTACTGATATTCACAGTGTAGTTAAATCTCTAGTCTACTGCATATTTCCATTCAAACAAGCATCTCTAGTTTTCTGTAACATGGGAAGCTGGCATCCCTACAATTTTAATGCTACCCTAAATTAAAAGTAAAATGATCTTAATGTTACATTGGATTGCATATTTAAAAGTAACCATTTAAAGCACCAGAGTCTTCATGACCATTTCTGAGGATCATTTAGCTGATCATGTCCCTTCACACCCATCCATTCATCCTTCCATCCTCCCCCTTGACAGTATCCTTGGATCTGTCTTGACAGCAGTCTGGACCTGCCAAACCAAGCACAGACCAGACAACTGCTTAGACAGATTCTTCCTTCCACTCAGCTGACACTGTCCAACTGAATGGCCCACATGGACAAATGGGATGACAGATGTACTTACAGGAGTATGAAAGTGACATAAACATAAAGAGGAGAATGAATACTGGTACAAATATGGCATTTGGTAAACATAACCTTTAGACAAACTCATTTTTAAGACACAACAGAGTTACAGATTACAACTATGTTTTTCTTATAAAGGTTACAACCATTTGTCATAAAATCTAAATAACAAAACAAACTAACCATTAACTCTGAAGAGCTTTCAAAAAGTTTATACCAACTATTGATAGGCACCTAGTGACTGTGCTCACATCACTCAGGCCAGTCTGTGCTGGGATCCAGACGGTCAGCAAAATGCGCCCTTTATCTCAGTGAGCTCTACTGACAAAATGAATGGAGAGTTAATGGTGTCATGACTTCAAATATAATGTTTGGGAGGTGGACAATATGACTTCAAAGAACTCACTTTCAACTAATTTTACCTTCCTATTCTGATCCACTTTCTCAGTTTCAGTACTAGATGCCAAATAGTGACAAGAGGTGTGATATCAGGGTAAATATTTCAGTTCTGAGGTAAAAGTGAGTAAGGGCTTAAGGAAATGAAAGGTAATTATTCAATAACAGATCTAAAGCAAAGCTGCTTTGGCTAATGATGAGAAGCTGAAGGAAGGGTTCTTTATACTTTAGGGTTTTGGATATTCTCCAGACTAATGCTTAAGAGATACTAAAAAGTTGAGAGAGATTAGAGTGAGTGAGCTGGCCAGCCTTTGGTTTACGGCCAGTTTCAAAGCCTGTTTCTGGGTGCAGAGCCACATACACAGGAGCAACAGCGAGAAGTTCTCCCTAAAGAACCGGAACCTGAAAACAAGGCAAATGCTCTTTGTTGATCTAAGAATTCAGATTCTGAACTGAACTTCCATAGAATAACTGGCTGATGGAATAACCACAGACACGGGCTCATTCCAGTTAAAGAATGTCTACTTAGGTGTCACCATTAATACCATAAGCCCCCACTGGCTCTCTAGTTCCCACCTCCACAAACTGACTTTGAGAACCTCTCCAATCCAGCTTTCTGCTTCCAAACGAACCTCACATCCCATCTCTTCCCTCACCTGCTGCCACAGAAGTGACTCAGGCTAGCCTTACCTTTCCCCAGTGCACTGGTAACCTTGAGCCTCGCTCCCCCTTTACTGTTTCCCTAACCTACCAGCCCCGCCCCACCACTTCATTAATTCTAACTGTGCTTTAGACACGAGTTCAAATTCCATCTTCTTGAAAAGAGAGAAGTATTCCCTAAACCTTCTATCAGCCCTCATTGCTCTCTCTCTTTTCAAAGCCTTCATAAGCTACTGCTTTATTTACAATTGGAAAAACATGGAAGCAACCCAAATGCCCAAAAGTAGATGGCGGGATTAAAAAGATGTGAAACATATATACAATGGAATATTACTCAGCAACCAAACAAGAGAAACACATGTCTTTTGCAGCAACTTGGATGGAGCTGGAAAAAAGCCTTCATAAACGTACATACGCTGGGCCTGCTTTCCTAGCTTATTCCATCCATCCCAATGACTTAATCTCATCTTTCCAGCTAGACAGACCTAAGGAGCCCTCAGAGCAAACATCAGGACTTGCTAGTTCTGAGCAGCAAAATGCAGGGGCAATGAAGGCCTGTTTCCACCAACACTAGCAGGCCGGTGGCTGATGGAGTTCTGTCCTCTCAGAGCTGGCCCCAGCCAGGGCTCACGAGCAAGGGCCTTAGGGTTTGTGCGCCTCATGCAGACCTTGGTGGAATAATCTGTCTTGTGGAATTTTGCACAATGAATGAGACAAGGAAAAAGATAGAAACTCAGGAAAATCTGAAGAAAAAGAAAACTCCTCTTTGTCACCACCCACCCTCATCAAGGCTGTGAGATTTCCTGTTTTTAAGTCAGAGATGTTACAATTTCCCATTAGACTGACCACAGATTGACTTATAACATCTGCTTTTGTCTTGGCAGTCATCATCTTTTAGATAGAAAAATGTCGATGACAGTGAATTTTCAATGGAACCCTCTACTCCAAAATTGCCTACTATGGAGAAAGAAAGTCATGCTAGCACATGTTGAAAACCACATGTTTAAGCAAGTCTGAAAAAGGCAGGAGAGAACACACATACAACAAATGTTGAAAGAGTGTAAGATTTGAATACTGCTCATAATAACAGATAAACAAGAATTCCTTTTAAGGCATATGCCCCATTGGGTCAGACTCAGACATCATGTCTTGGATGCAGAAAGTGGACTAGATGGTGGCTGACGAGCCTCCGTGCTTTAACCAGTAAACATTTATGTACACACCTGCTGTCCAAGTGCGTTTATGCACTGTGCCTCTGTGCAAGTGTGTGTGCATAGGACAGAGAGGGCAGACAGACATGGGTGTGTGTGCTTGGCATGTACTCAACCCCTGAGAACTAAACCTGAGGATAGACATGGAAAGCAGGCCCATACACAGGTGTGTCATTACCCTCGGCAGCAACAGTCTATTCATGTGCATTCACCTTCTGCCTCCTCCCTGCGGCCACTGGATGCTTGTGGAATAGGCCAGGCAAGAAGGGGTGAGGCACCTTATCATACATTCAACAGGGAATTACTTTCAACTGCTTCTATGGACGTCTACTTCCTGTGTAAAGCACGGCAGTGACGGGAGATCCAACTCAGCCCTTTCAAATACTGGCAATTAACCCAGATCACCTGCAGGCCTGAGAGAAACCCATGCCCCACCATCAGTCTGTTCTGTTACCTCCATCGCTGCAGGTCCTGGAGTCTGAGGCCAGGCTGTCTGAGGAGCCCGTGGTGAAGCTGACGTGGATGCCCCTGAAAGAAGGGCTGAGGCTCTCTGTGGAGCCCTGGCTCACTTTTTCCAGATCAGAGCTGCTCTTGTTCATCTTTAAAAGGTTCCTGGAAAATGCAGGGACAAACACAGTAATTAATTTGCTTTCTAGTCAAAAAACAAGAGCTATGGATCCAGAACTCACTACGCTTTTGAAGCCTGACCAATGCCAGCAAGTTCTGAAAAAAAATGGAAGCTCTTCTGAGACCTTAGGCACAGGAGTGGCAGGAGATTTGTTGAGTGTGGATAGGAGAAGAGGCTGTTAAATTAAATTTAAATAAGCCAAAATTATGATTTGGGAGGAACTGCCTTCTTATTCTGACACTTTCTGCCAAGAACATTTATATCTTTTATTATATCTGATGTAACCATTCTACAAAGAAGACTTGCACATTCTCATACAAGCACATGTGTGAAGAAACATATGGAGATTGGTCAGCTTTTGCAAAATCAGAGGACAAATGAATTGCAACAAGGACTAATGTGAGATTTCTTTATTATGTTTTTGGGGGTGTATTCACTTGACATAGCTTCGAAAGGTTTAGTTATTCCTTGGAATTAAGGAAAATGTTATTTCAATTTTAACTAGACTTCTAGTGCTGTGTTTAGATAGGACCATGTTAACATAATCCTTATTCCAGATGAAGGGAACCTTTCCTTAGGCTTTTTATGAAGTCTTTTGCATCACCAATGTATTAGGCACAGGAATATCAGGTTAAAGAAAAAAGAACTTGCTTGGAGAAAAGAGTTGTATTATTAGGTGGAGTGTTTAGCTTATTGATTTTTCTTCCCCCCAGGCCACGGACCACATGAATATTCACTCTGACCTGACATTTTCACCACTTAGTGAGAAAGACCACAATCAATCCAGCTCCCTCCCTGCTGGTGGTAACCCAGATTTGTCTGAACTGGTATTTCCTGATGACATTCCTGTTCTCACTAGAGCAGATCTATATCTCAATACCTGCTGCAGGAAATATACAATGCATAATTGACCTGCCATCAGAGCTGCCTTATTTAATGCACATGACCTTACAGTTAAGAATGTATTGATTACTCTTTGTGTACAACATTGCCAGACGCTGTAATGGCTCTCTGTCCCTTACTTATTAACACAAAGTTTAGAGAATATTCATTTGCTACCATTAAACATGTTTCCCCTCCCCCCTCCACTTCTCAGACCCACATTAAAACACTTTTTCTTTTCTTTTCTTTTTTTTTTTAAAGATTTATTTATTCATACAGAACTGGGGTACAGGCCAGAGATGCGGAGGGTGAGAGGATTCACCAGGGACAGAGCGGGGAGCAGAAGAGGCAGATCGACGAAGCACACTGCTGAGGGGAGCAGTGGGCGGGTCAGGAGAGGTCTGCCGCGCCATGTGGTCACCTCCGGGGCAGGCGGGAATCGAACTCATGCGGAAGTGGTTTCAGCTTCTCAGTGCTGTGCTTTAACCCGCTGCGCCACCAGGGAGGGCCCCTTAAAACACTTTTAAAGCAGTCAAATGCAGATGTGACAGTGATGGCAATATTATTAAATAGCAGCCTTTTTATTTTGGTGTCATTGTAGGGATCTTGGAAACCTTAAATCTTTAGAAAAGGCTATGGCAGTCAGTTATTGTTATTTTACCCTCTGGCAAAATAAAATCATAGAAAGCTTCATAAATATTTTTACCCTTATTGGATCCATCAATAATGGCTTTCTCAGAAGAAGTCAGGAGATGAAGAAGTGACTAAAGGACAATTCCTCTGTCTAGGCAACAAAGTCATCTATCTCTATGACAAACCAACTACTCTGACCCCTCCATAGTCGTCTCTGGTCCCTGGGACTTCAGCCTTTGAAAATTGCAGGGGAGAAATTCCAGCCCAACAGGTGCTGAATTGGTGAGTTTGCCTCCTGCTTCACTCCACACCCTTGAAAAACATTTCATGAAATGTAAGTAGATAAAACTAAAAGATCTATAAATGTGTATATGTGAACACACACACACAATTATCTAGAGAAACAGGAACGCATGGCAAAAGAACACAAAGCATTGAAAGAAGGAAGACACAGAAAGAACTCAGTAGCAGAGACTGCTTCAGCCTGGGCTAGGCTGCTGCAGGTTCTGGCAGTTGCTCGTGATCACGTTCACAAGTCTTTCCATTTGCAGGTTTCTAAGTGTTTTAATTACATCTAGTTACTGGCTTTGATCTACTGCTTTTTCTACATCTTTTAAAATCTTTATTTTCTTGCTTCATTCTGTTAACGGGAGGAGTTACAATAACTATTCTTAATTTCTTAAATTTACCCACATGCTTGCAAACTGCAACAACTTATTTTCACACATTATTGGATTCAGTTTTACTAAGATTTGGCTTGGGATCTTTACATTGATATTCAAAGGTGAGATTAGTCCATATATATATTTTTTTTCTCGCCTGTCTTTGTCCAGTTTTGGTACAAAGGTTAAATTAGAATCATAAAATGAATTGGGTAACTTTTTTCTCTTTTTCCATGACCTTATATTATTTGCAAAAGAGAGAGCCTATGTGTTCCCTGAAATGTTGCTAAAACTTTCCTGCCAGTTCATCTAGATGTGGCTGTAGTGTAAGTGAGAATAAAGATTTCATTCTGATAAATTTGGGACAAATGTTTTGAGGATTGAGAATGAAGAAAAAGATCTCTTTATGCAGGAACTTGCTGTATGACAAATCAAGTGCTGTGTCAGTGACACTAGGAGGAGTGAGGAAGTTCTCAGTAGCCACACACCAGCTACTTGCAACAATTAAAAAAAGAAGGCAGAGCTGTATTTCACCTATGTACAACCATGAATTTTCAATTGGGGAAAAAACCCCAATCTTCTAGAAGAAAATATTGGAAAACATCTTTATGATCTTGGAGTAGAATACTCTATATTCTCTTAAATGAGATTTAAAAAAAAAAAGTCATAAAGAAAAAGATAGAGACATTTTATTACTTTATGTTTTTAAACTTTTGAGTGATTAAAGGTATTTATGGAGAATTCAAAAAATAAACAAAAAAAAAACTTGGACTGGGAAACCCACATATTTAACAATTCACAGAACACATAAGTTACTGTATCCAGAATATAAGAATATAAAAAGAATGCAACAAATGACCCTATTTTTAAAAAGGGCAATGGATATACAAAAGCAATTCACAGAAGAGAAAAAAACGTGGAAGGTCAACCAGCACATGAAAAGATGATAAGTCTACTAGCAATAAGATTAAAAATAAAGTGAAATTCCACTTCAAATCCAAGCAGCTCAGTTAGGCAATATCAGGTATTGTTAAGGCCGTGGGAAAATGGGAAGTTTTTGTACTGTCTGTAGGTTTGTGGACTGATGGGTCACATACACTCATACACGCACTCACACAAAATGGCTAACAATTTGATGAAACTTGTAACGTTGAATATGTCCATTCCTATATCACACTTACTCCATGTTTAGGTATAGATCCTTGAGCAACGTTATTCAGGTCACTAGTAGTGAGTGAATGCCTAAGTCAATTTAGTGAGTCAAAGGCAGTTTTTTAACCAGTAAGCTATTTTAAGAAAACAGAGCAGAAAATATGAAAAAAATAATTGTGAAACTTCATTTTGTTAAACTTTTGTTTCAGGGGTGTGTGAGTGTGTACACTAATTGGGTCATAGTAGTAGTAAATATATTTCTTATTGTGAGTCCTGGTTTTTAAGTTTAAAAATTATTGCTCTATAACAGGGGATAATAAATTTCCCTTAAAGGGCCAGATCAGGAGCCTTGTCCAGTGAAAATATTCAAGTCATATATATAATTTTAAAATTTCTGGTTGTCATAAATGACGTTTATTTTAATGATATTTAATATTGAAAATATAATAAAATATTATCACCCCAACATGTAATGAATATATATCAGTATTACTGACATATTTTATACTCTATTTACTCTATATTTTTAAAAGCTAGTGTGTATTTGCTTTTATATCACTTCATAATTTATGCTGGCCACATTTTAAGCTAATGGCTACTCTTATTGAATTGTGCAGACCTAGAGAAACTGTCTTGGGTAAGATTGTTCACTGTGTTCTTATTAATAACAAAACAAATTCTTAGATAATCAATACTGACAAAATAGGAATGGAGACATTGTGCTATAGTCTTATAAAGCATATAACACAGCATTAAAAAAATGAATGAACTTGATTTCAATGTACTAATATGAAAATAATTCTTAAAGTGTTAAATAGTAAAAGTAGCTTATCAGAGGCTTGAGTGGCATACTGTTTATGTACATTTTAAAAATGCTCGATTACCCTACATATAACTCCATGTTACTTATGTGTAGCAAAGTGGAAATGATACTCATCAACTTCAAGATGGGTACACTCTGGGTAGCAATGGATATTTCTGTATATTAAGTTTTAAAAATCTAGAACAATGTCAAAATCTTAATATTTGAAAAATTGTAAGAATGGATGTCAATGAATTATTCTTTGAATTTCACTATTTTTTTTGAAATATCTAACAAACGGAAAATGCACATTTCTTGTAGGACAGTAAATCCCTGGGGCTGAATGAAGGTATTCCCTTCATCTGCTGCTGAGAAAGCGGAGGCCTGTGGAGTGCGTGTGTGTGTGGGGGGGGCAGGACATAGCATTTCTGTTGGGCTCCCCAGCAGGACTGGCAGGATCATGAAGGCTGTTTCCACCACAGAATAACCTTATGGATGGAAGAAGTTGTTTCTCAGACACAATAACTCTTCTAAGCCATTGGGGGTTAATTCTTCTTTATTTCATCACCGTGAGGAAGAACTCACAGCTCTGATGACTGTTACAGTGATTAGAGATAAAATCCAGCTACTTCTATGAAGGCTAAATTTTCCACTTAATGTGTGTGTGTGTGTGTATGTGTGTGAGTGTAGGGAAGTGGGGAGTCTTGGTAACCAGGTATCCAAGCCACAAGTTGAATGTTAATATCTTCTAAGGGACTAGAACCACTGTTTTTTTAAGAAAGCTCAAGCCCCCACAGGGATTACAATTGAGATGAAAGGAAAAAAAAAAAAAACGAAAGTACAAAATGATATA